AAATATAGAAATTGTAAATTTAATTGAAATGACTAAACAGTGTTTAAATTTGTGAACCGGCCAAATACTCTGTTCAAAGAAAATACATTGTATGTTTGTATGTGTGTTTCTAATTATTGCTATTTATTCATATTTGTTCTCTTTTATTCTTTAAAGTTTAACAATTCATTCTTTATCTTAATATCTTTATATTTGTTTGGGGTTGGCTTTCTTCCCTTTCATCTTTTTTATTGTACAGCAATCTTTCTCCTCAAACCTACCACCTCTCTCTTTTCTTTCCTTCTTACTTTCTCTTCCCCCATCTCTTCTTCTCCTCCCTACTTTCTCTTCCTTTCTCCTTCTCCTCCTCTCTTCCTCCCTCTCTTACCCTCCCTCCTACTCTAATTTCTCTTCCCTTCCTTCCTCCCTTCTCTTCCTTCCCTCTCTCTCCTTCCTTCTTCCATCTCTCTTCTCCTTCCTTCATCCCTCTCTATTGCTGTATCCTTTTGTGCATATGGATTACTCAGAGGGCTGAAAAAGTTATTTTTGACTGGTCCTCGCACTTTTGACCAGGTCCTCGAACTTACGACTGTCCTCACATTTTACGTTTTTGCCCTATCTTGTCACCATGGTGAAGAGAAGCAGTTGTGAAATGAGTGACATGGTTGTTAAGAATGCTGCACGGGCATAAATGTGAGGATGGTCATAAGTGTGAGGACCAGTCAAAAGTGCGAGGACCTGTCAGAAATGACTTTTTTTCAGCCCTCTGGTTAGTCCTTTTGTGCATATGGACTACTCGGAGGGCTGAAAAAGTTATTTTTGACTGGTCCTCGCACTTTTGACCAGTCCTCGAACTTACGACTGTCCTCACATTTTACGTTTTTTGCCCTATCTTGTCACCATGGTGAAGAGAAGCAGTTGTGAAATGAGTGACACGGTTGTTAAGAATGCTGCACGGGCATAAATGTGAGGATGGTCATAAGTGTGAGGACCAGTCAAAAGTGCGAGGACCTGTCAGAAATGACTTTTTTCAGCCCTCTGAGTAGTCCCTATACACATAGCTATGGCACACCCGGTCACATGACCACTAGCCACGCCCACTCAGTCACATGACCTCCAAGCCACACCCACAAAATAAGCCACACCCACAGAACCGGTAGTAAAAAAATTAGAACCCACCCCTGGCCTAGTCGGCTTCTTGCATCACAGCGGGGAGGGTGGGGCGTGTTTTCACCCTCCCCAGGCTCCGGAGGCTTTCCCCGAGTCTCCAGGAGGGCAAAAATGGCCTCCTCTGGGCTCCAGAGGCCGGAAACGGGCTCGTTTCCAGACTTCCGTTAGGCCCGTTTTTCACTCTCCAACAGCCTCCGTGTGGGCCCTGCATTTATCTGGCATCCAAAACAGGCCGTGTGGAGACTGCTAGGAGGGTCGGGGTGGGCTGGGCGGGGTTAACCGGTCCTTCCAACTACCGGTTCGGTGAACCAGATTTGGTTTCTTGTAGGCTGTTAAGAAAGTTGGAAAAGACTGAGTTATTTTAGTAAATTTAAGATTGTACAGACTTTGTGTGTGCTGTGTTCTTTGGGGTCCGCAGAACACAACCGTGGAAAGAAAAGTCACATATAGTGGGGCAAAACTCACTCAACAAATGTCTCACTTAGCATAATTTTTCGGCTCAATTGTGGTCATAAGTCAAGGACTACCTGTAAGATGAAGCCAGGGGGAAAATCCTATTTAATTTAATTTGATTTGAATTTGTTGAAGGTTCAATATTGGCACCTGAACCGTTCGCAGAAGTTAAACTAAGCTAGATCTAAGTATGGAGAGTCCTCAACTTACAACAGTTCATTTAGCAACTATTCAAAGTTACAACGGCTCTGAAAAAAGTGACTTATGACCGTGTTTCAGACTTACGTCCGTTGCAGCAACCCCGTAATCACATCAAAATTCAGCCACTTAGCAACTGGCTCATATTTATGATGGTTGCATTGTCCTGATCCCCGTTTACGACCTTCTGACAAGCAAAATCAATGGGGAAGCTGGATTCACTTAACAACCGTGTTTCTAAGTTAACAACTGCAACGAATCGCTTAATCACGGTGGCAAGAAAGGTCATAAAACGGGGCAAAACCCACTTATCCACTGTCTCGCTTTGCGAGAGAAATTTCGGGTTCAGTTATGACTGTAAGTAGAAGACTGCCTGCAATATGGGGATAGGAGACCACCAGGAGATGTCTACATTCTATTTACTACCACCCAAGAAAACCACTTGAGTTCCACAGGCTGCCATCTACATTTTCTATCCAGCTATGCAGTTAGTAATTTTCCTCTTCCGGTGCAGGACAATTGATGAGTCGGTTACAACTCTTTGGAGGTGGTTGAGGGCCGCGCCCAAAATCTTGAGAAGGTCCTGGCGGATTGATGTCTTCTTTTCTTTCCAGAACCCTTAAAAACAAGACAAACCGGGTTGGGAATTTTCAAGTTTAGCGATGAAAGGATGAACCCAACTTGTCTCGGCGTGTCTGAAGAATTTTCTTCCGGCATCGAAGGCGCCGGATGAGGTGGCTAGGGAAGGATGGGAGATTTATGAAGTTGCTGGTTTTGCAGCCACGTTTGAATCTTTCCCTTCCCCCCCCTCCCCAAAGATTGGGGAATTGATTTTGGCCCAAGATCAGGTGCTTCTGATGGTGGGTAGGGTACAGGGAGTCCTTGGCGTAGAACCCAAACGGAGCCTGGCATTAGGGTTGTAAGTAGTTGCTTTCATTAAGCAGATCTCCAGGTGACTAGTCCACACGGTTTTATGTTGTTGGGGGGGGGGGGGCGTCATTATGCAAACATGTTGGTCTTTACGCGAAAGCAGCAGTTGTTCAGTGAACATGGCAGGTGGTTAAGGGAATCCGTTTTATTGGCCGTTTTATGCCAGGACCCATAATATGCTATAATATACACAGGGGTGAAATCCAACAGGTTCTGGCGAACCCGTAGCAGAAATTTTAAGCAGTTTGGAGAACCAGCAAATACCACCTCTGGCTGGCCCCAGAGTGGGGCGGGAATGGAGATTTTGCAATATCCTTCCCCCAGGAGTGGGGTGGGAATGGAGATTTTGCAATATCCTTCCCCTGGAATGGGGTGAGAATGGAGATTTTGCAATATCCTTCCCCAGGAGTGGGGAGGGAATGAGGATTCTGCAGTATCCTTCCCGTGGAGGACGATGGGATGGAGATTTTGCAGTTCCTTCCCCCACCACAAACGCCACAGAACTGGTAGTAAAAAAAATTTGGATTTTCCTCACAGAATGTTACAGTAGATTCATGTCATTTCAGAATAGGCTAGGAGGATGGGGCAGGAAGACAGGATAATGGAATGTTGGAATGGAATATGGAAGAGAGTGAGTGGTGAGAAGCTAACTGCCCAATGCACTTGGTGCGATGCGTGCATGCGTGCCTGACCTCCAAATTGCAATGCATGTGCCCTGCCCCCTACACATGTGCGCACAGGCCCCCTGCACAGGCCCCCACCCCCGCGCATGGTGGCAGTGACCCAAAGACCAGCTGGCCGGTGGAAGGCGCGCGCACATGCACAATGGAGCTGAATTGGCGCAACGGCTCACGTGCCATCAAAGAGGGCGCTGCGTGCCACCTATGGCTGCGGGCCATAGGATACCATCACGGGAATAGAATATGGAAGGAAGAGAACAGGAACAGAATAGGGAATAGGAATAGAAAATAGGGAACAGAAAATAGGGAATAGAGAATAGAGAATGGAATAGAATAGAAAAAGAATAGAAAGAAAAGAAGGAGATAGAAAAAGAGAGAATACAATGTAAAAGAATAGAATAGAATAAGAATAGAATACAATAGAAAAAGAAATAGAATAGAATAGAATAAGAATAAATAGATAGAAAAAGAATAGAATAGAATGAGAATAGATAGTATAGCAAAAGAATAGAATGAGAATAGAATACAATAGAAAAAGAATAGAATAGAATGAGAATAGAATACAATAGAAAAAGAAAAGAATAGAAAGAATAGAATAGAATAAGAATAGAAAAATAGAATAGAATAGAAAAGAATAGAATAGAATAAGAATAAAATAGAATAGAATAGAATAGAAAAAGAATAGAATAGAATAAAATAGAATAGAAAAGAATAGAATGAGAATACAATAGAATAGAAAAAGAATAGAATAGAAAAAGAACAGAATACAATAGAAAAAAGAATAGAATAGAATAGAATAGAATAAGGAAAAGAATAGAATAAATAGAACAGAACGGAACGGAACGGAACGGAATAGAATAGAAAAAAGAATAGAAATCACCATTTTTCTCAATCTTAGCAATTTTAAAGTCTGGATAGCTGGAAATTGTCAGATTTGAAGGCTGTACATCTGAACATGGTTAAGAGATTCTTCCATTTATGACCACAACTGAGCCCAACATTTCCGTTGATAAACGAGACAGTTTTCAAGTGAAGTTTGCCTCATTTTACGACCTTTCTTGCACAGTGGTTAAGTGAATCATTGCAGCTGGTAAATTAGTAATCTGGTTGTTAAGTGAATCTGGCTTCCCCATTGGGTTTGCTGGACGGTGGTCACAAAAGGGGATCACGTGACCTTGAGACACAGTAACTGTCATAAGTATGAACCGTTGCCAAGCGTCAGAATTTGGATCACGTAACCTTGGGGATGCTGCAACGGTCGTTGTGTGAGTGAAAAACGGTCATAAATCGCTTTTTTCAGCACTGTTGTAACTTTGGTCACTAAACGAACTGTTGTAAATCAAGGACTATCTGTATTAGATCTGCCCCTCACTTAAATATCTCCAATGAAGCAGAATTATTTATGTTGGTACGTAGGCACGTATGTATGTATGTATATATGCATTTATTTGTCTGTTTGTTTATTTTTCTTTCTTTCATTCATTCATTCATTCATTCATTCATTCATTCATTCATTCATTCATTCATCCAGGCTTCCCAAATTGTTCTTGAGTTTCATTCTCTTCTCTTTCTTTCTTCTTTTTCTTCCAGCCTTCAAGTTCGGCCAAAATTACGATGCTCGCTTATTCTGCAGCATTTCAAATATTTTCCTAAGAAGACGTCATACATTTAGGCTTCCTGGCATCCCGTCTTTGATAAAGTTTGGGGAGCTGTGCCCTACCTCCGCTGGGCCACCCATAACATGCCCTTCAATTTGGACCCGGCTTTGCCCAGGATGACAGGGGCTTCCCAGGCAGATCGAGGCTTTGAAGGGATCCTCCAGATCCTAAATGGGATCCCAGCAGAGAGGCTGGTTCAGTACAGGCACAAGTTGAGCTGCTTGCACCAAGACCGGAAGAGCTGCCATCTCCTGCACGTCATGATCCTGTGGTCCTTGGGGAGAGAAGTTGAGGCCAGGGTGCATCTCAACAGCTTCATGGAGGACGTGGTGGCCCACCATCTCTCCCAAAGCCTCTGGGGTACGGGTGGAGCAAAGAGGACAACCCCAGAGCAACTCCAGAAGGACCATGCCAAGGTGGCCCAATCCGTGGCAGAGATCTACTCACTCTTGGTTGACGAGAAGCTCTGCGACACCCTGGCCAGAGACGAGGCCTACAGAGAAGCTGTCCGAGCCTTTCAAGCAAGCCACGTTGAAGGAGCCCAACTCAAAGGTCTCCTGGATGAAGCTATGGAGAAGTGTGGACCGCAGTTCATCTCAACGGTGCCCGGGGATAATTTCAGAGCTCTGGCCTCAGGTAGATGGGAGTTGACTCCGGCCAGAAGGAGCAGTCCGGTGTCAATCGGTAGCTCTTCTCCTCCCGATAACCCTCAGTCTTTACGTTCTACAGGTAGCCCCATCTCCCACATCAGCAGCCTTAAGATCAGCGAGAGTTCAGTAACCTCCGACAGCCCTTCCAGCACAGGAGGCTCCTTGTCTCTACCACCAACCGGCCAAGGAGAAGACATCAGCTCTAAGTCGTTGGTCAACAGCTGCTCCACCAATTCAAGAAAACCTTCCCTACCAAATTCCAGAGGTCCCTGTTTACTGCCTGACTCTAAAATCACACTGTCTCCCACAGCATCTGCCCAGGGCCTGCCAACCCCAAAAACAACACCATCAGGAGATCTGACATGCACCTTTCAAGCTCCATCTCTGCAGAAGCCGGGTTCAGCATCTTCTGCAGGAAATGGTCCGCCCCGTTCCTCTGCTCCGGCACCAATCACGAGTTTTGGACCTCTGCTGTCTTCTTCTTCTTCTACTTCGGATCTTGCCTCTTGTAGCTCAGAACCTTCTTCTTCGATGGTCCCACCAGACGATGAAAGGCAGTTCTACACCTTCGTAGTCCTGCATGCCGCAGAAGATGAGCTGGTGGCTTGCCGGGTGAAGGATCGCTTGGAGGCCTTGGGTGTCTCCAACGGGGCCACCTTCAGCGAGGATTTCCTCATTCCTGGGTGTGGCCAACTCAACTGTTTCCAGAACGCCTTGGACAACTCAGCCTTCACGCTCGTACTCCTGACAAGGAACTTCATGGGACGCCTTTGTGACTATCAACGTGACACGGCCTTGATGGACTCCCTCACCCGCTGTTGCAAGAGGAACTCAGTGATTCCGTTTGTGCCCAAGGAACATTCACGAAATTTCGGGGAAATGCCCCTCCTGCTCGCTTCGCTGGTGCCCTTGCGTGAAAACTCTCCCGTGTTTGAGAAGAGAGTGAAGAAGACCTTCACTCCAAAGGTGATCCGGGAAAAGAAAGCTACCTGGGACCTCATGAGAAAGATCCAGGAAAGAGAGGAGGAGAGAGAACGAGAACGAGAAAACTTGAGGCTGCAGCAACATCTCGCTGTCCTCAATCTTCCGTCATCAGTTCGACCACCGGTGGTGGACATGTCAAGAATGGAAGCCCAAGCAGGCGATGAGACTCAAGGCTTTCCTCCTTTGGCAACGTCCTTCATGAAACTGGGACTCGACCAGGCTTCCTTCTCCCAACCGTTCCTGTCCTTGGTGGGTTCTCCAAACGCAATGCCGGGTCCCCAGTTCATCATTCAGAATGCCCAGATGGTTCAGATCGGTGACTATAACCACATGCAGGTGGAAAAAAGCAACGCAACGGTTGGCACGGCCAATGAGACCGTTGAGAGGGCACCGGTGGTGGAAAAGGAAGACAACCCCAGAGAATGGAAACAAGACGGATGAAAGGAGACGGCCGAAAAATGTCTTAAATTTCCTAATCATCAAATTTCCTCAATGATCTTGTCGAGGGAAGGGGCCACTTTGACTTGTGACATCGTGCGAAGATGTAGGGGCCAACAAGAACTGGGACCTTGAATGGAGGAGCAGCACAGGAGGACCTGAAGTCCACCTGAGCTTCATGGGTGACTATCTCCTCTTTGCAATCCTCCAACAGGGACTTGCGAAGGGCAAAATGCATTATAGGTAGTGCTCGAACTTATAACCATTCATTTAGTGACTGTTCAAAGTTACAAGAAAAAAAAGGCACCGTTTTCCACACTTATGACCGTTGCAATATGCCCATGGTTGTGTGATCAAAATTCAGACGCTTGATCACTGGTTCCTATTTATGACGGTTGTGGTGTCCCAAGGTCACGTGATCCTCTTTTGCGACCTTCCAAGAAGCAAAGCCAATAGGGAAACCAGATGGTCTTAGCAACTAATATTGCTAACTTAACAACTGCAGTCACTTAACAACTGTGGCAAGCAAGGTCGTAAAATGGGGCAAAAATCACTTAACAACTATCTTGCTTAGCAAGATGTTGACCTCAGCTGTGGTCCTATGTCGAGCACTACCTATATCTGTGATGGTGAACCTATGGCAGGTGTGCCACAGGTGGCACGTGAAGCCATATCTGTGGGCACACGAGCGTTGCCCTAGCTCAGCTCCAGTGCACATGCGTGCACCGGCCAGCTGATGTTTGGGCCTTTAGGGCCCACTGGAAGTCAGGAAATGAGCTGTTTCTGACCTCCAGAGAGCTTCTGGGGAGGGTGGGGAAGGCTGTTTTTGCCCTCCCCAGCCTCCAAGAAAGCCTCTGGAGCCTGGGGAGGGCGAAAAAATGGGCCTTCCAAGCCCAGCATGCCATCACGTGCCAAAAGCGGAGGAGGGGAGGCACAGGGGGCATTAAATTATGGGTGTGGGCGCACGCGCGCACGACCCTCCTGCACTCCTTCCACTTTTAGTACATGGCGGCAAAAAGGTTAGCCATCACTGACTTATATTTTTAATTTTGCAATTTGGGAGACAATTTTGAGATCCTTCAGTGCTCTTTAGAAAAGATGGGGCGCCATTTTGCTCCTTTTTTTGCAACCCAGCCAAGACTTCAAAAGGGATGAATCTCAAAGGACAGAGATAAGAGGGCACCTATTTCTTTCAAACCCCACCGATTTAACTTGGTTGAAAATTCTGGGATGTGTACGATTGCTTTATGCTGCGCGACATCTGCGCAATATATGTGTGCCTTTGAAAATGCCTTGGTTCATGTTGCAGATGGAATTATAAGGATCCTGGTTTGATTTTGGTTTAAGAGGCGAAGAGTCGCTGTGATCTTATTTACGGCTTGGTGTGTCTGAACTGAATTGTGGCTTAACTCTATATAACCAGGTTTAAGCCACGGCTTAAGACAAGGGCGTAGCAATCGAGAGCTCTTTTAGATTCCAGGCAATGCTGGATCATAACAATCAAGATAGCGAAGATATATGGACTTCAACTCCCAGAATTCCCCAGCCAGCTTGGCTGGCTGAGGAATTCTGGGAGTAGAAGTCCACAGGTCTTAAAAGTTGCCAAGGTTGGACGCCCATTTAAAACTTTGGATATTTTACCAGTGGTAAATACTACCAGTAAGATAAGAACCTGAAGTTGAAATATTAAAGTTGAAATTGAAATCCATATATCAAGTTGCTCAGGTGAGGGAAGGGAGGGAGGGAGGGAGAGGGGACGGGGTGGTTGTGGTCAGGAACATGGGTGTGTGTGTACCCCAACTTTATCTCTATTTTCACTTCCACTGTCCCTGGAGAAGCTGGGAGCTGCAGATTGCAATGCTAAAACCCCCAGCCCCAATTCCTCCCTTCTTTCTGCACTTTATCAGATCTGACCCAGCCAGACCACTTCAACTCCCAGTACTTTTTCCAGTCTGGAATAGAGGCATTAAACAAGACGACACATTGTCTTGCTTTTTTAATACATCCACTCAGGGGCAAAGTATGTGTATTTATTTATTTATCATCAAAAATTAGGGAATTATTATTTCTTTTGGCACGGCAGGGGAAATAGGGGTCCTTCATAGCTGGCTGGGGAATTCTGGCCAAGGTTGGACGCCCCTGATCTAAAGCTTTGGACCTGTTTGACCAGTGGTAAACACCAGTAAGATACGAATTGTGGAGCCTTGATAGCACAGTGGTCTAAGCACCCTGTCATTAACACAGCTGCCTGCAATTTACTGCTGGTTCGAATCTCGCCAAGGCTCAAGGTTGACTCAGCCTTCCATCCTTTCTAAGGTAGGTTAAATGAGGACCCAGTTTGTGGGGGCAATAAGCTGACTTTGTATAAATATACAAAAGTATGAAGGCTATTGCTTAACGCATTGTAAGCTGCCCTGAGTTTCCGGAGAATGGCGGAATATAAATCAAATTTAAAAAAAAATTGATGCCTAAATGGGGATTAGCAGAACGAGGGGCTCTTTCTTTTGCTTGTAAAGTTAAATTTAAGGAGCAGATGGTATTTAATTTGCTCTGCCTGGTAAACAGAATTATCACTGTTTTAGGCAGCACCTGAGCTACGAGGTGCTCAGCAGAAACCCACAGATTCTCATATGGGGAGAATTTTGCTGTGGGATTCCTGAGATGGATTGTTTTTCTTGCATGCGTTTTGTGACCCAGCTAGGTAGCATCATCAGTGCCAGAAGGGAGTGTGGGGTATTGGTAGCTCAAGGTTGAATGTGGGGTCCTTGGTGCTCTGAACTGGGGTTTGTTTTTTTTCTTGCAGGCATTTCATTACCAAATCAGTGGATTACATGACGTAGCCCCAAAGAATCTGATCCCGCTACAAGGTTCTTCCATTTGTAACTTGTTTTTTTTCCGCCCATAAATGCCAAACTATGAAGAAACGCAGGTGTCTTTCTCAGGCTCAAAAATGTCACCACATATAGGTAGTCTTCGACTTATGACCGCTCGTAGTTACAGCGGACTTCCCCAGATATACTTACAACCCAGATTTGAAATTCTGATGGCTCCACCCATCATCACATTTTGGGTGCTTGGGAACTGGCTGGCAAATGGGCCTGGTGGCTCAGCAGATTGAAAGCATTGTGATTAACACCAGCTGTCTGCAATTACTGTAAGTTCGAATCTCACCAGGCTCAAGGTTGACTCAGCCTTCCATCCTTTCTAAGGTAGGTAAATTGAGGACCCAGTTTGTGGGGGCAATAAGCTGACTTTGTATAAAATATACAAAAGTATGAAGGCTATTGCTTAACGCATTGTAAGCCGCCCTGAGTCTCCGGAGAAGGGCGGCATATAAATCAAATTAAAAATAAAAAAATAAATTTAGTGTCCCGCAATCACACAATTTGCAAAAACCATTGTCTCCAGCTAAAAACACCCATTGTGAACAATGGATCTACTTAACAATTGCCCTATTTGCTTTATGACTGCCGCATTCCCTTAACAGTTGTCATAAAAAAGGTAGGAAAATCAGTTATGTGGCGATCCGCTGAATGACCGGCATGACTTATGACCATAATTCCAGACTCAAACAGTCGTTAAGTGGAGGACTACCTGTTTATCTAGCCACACGCCCATATGAAAACGAACAAGAGGAGTCAGAGACACAATTGTGTATTTTTTTAGCAGCATGACATTTTCTTCTTGATTTTCACTGTCAGTATAACTTTATTTACTTCAAGTTAGGAAGGTTGGCTCTCAAGTGTAGCATACGCTGCTTGTGCATTTTTTTTCTGCCAAGATTGCCAAATCAACTCCATTCTTTGCAACAAAACAAAAAAAAAGAAAAAAAAAACGGTAACCTGAAACTTCCTTTGCTTTACCCGCTAATATTGTTGTTTGCTTTTAACACTGCAAGAACGCAAAGCTGCAAAATCCAGAGGAAAGAAAACAACCTGAGGTTTCTGTAGTTCTCTTGAGCCCCCAAAGCAGCAGTTTCTCGACCTCTGCAGCTTTAAGATGTTTGGACTTCAACTCCCAGAATTCCCCAGCCAGCACAGTTGTGCTGGCTGGGGAATTCTGGGAGTTGAAGTCCAATCATCTTAAAGCCGCAGAGGCTGAAAAACTATGCAAGGCAATTTAAGACCTCTGCATCTTGTTATCCTGGGCTGTGTGAAGGTGCAGAAATGGTTCTCCAAACACATCCGCACACAAACACAAAATATTGGCAATTTGCCGTTCCACCCTGCCCAAACCAGGAATCTAAAGCAGGATTGGGGAGGGTTTTTTTTTTTTTTTTTTTTGCTCCTTTGATGTCCAAGAGAAAAACAAAGCAACATCTGTTAGCACCCTCCAGCATCACCTGATACTGTCCCCCCCCATCCCTTTTCTGCTTCAAAGCAGAACGAAATTAGAGATGGATTCGAAGAGAACGCCAATCTCTTAAAACTACGGAGGCCATCGGATTGAAATGACGCCTCCGACGGAGGCTCACCCCAGAGAGAACGATTATCAGATTAACTGGGGGGGAAACTCTACATTCTGAAACTTTTTGGTCTGATCAATTCAATTTCTCTCTTTTGTGAGACAGTCATCAAAACCTACGTCCGGCTGATAGGCCGTTTAACCAAGTCTTTTTTTTTTTTTTTTTGAAGGAAGACCTCTGAAGCAGTGTTTCTCAACTTCAGGAATTTTTATAAGAAGGGTGGACTTCAACTCCCGGAATTCCTCAGCCAGTCAGCCATGCAGAAGTCCACCCTTCTTAAAAGTTCCCGAGGCTGAGAAAGGCTCTTCAAAACAGTTCCAGATAACCCGGGATGGGTTGGTTTGATCTGGAAAAAAAAAAAAGTCTATCTGGACATAAGCAAGCACCAAAGATGATGATGTCCTCTTTTACTTCAACCTCCTCTGACCTTCACCTGTCCCGCTACTATGAAGAGTTAAGATGGTCCAGAAGTCATGCAGCCACCAACAGCCACGGCCATCTTACAACTGCTCCAAACATCTGCCGTTAACACAGTTGGTACGTGAGGTAGACCCTGAGAGAAGGGACAAAAAAGGTCCTTCAAGATTCGAACGCAAACATCAGGCCTTCTCAATCCCTTCAAGTCATTTTTATCTGTCTGTCCGTCCATCCATCCACTCACCCATCTTGCCACCATTTTTCTCTTGCCTAATGCAACCTCAACCTCAACTGCCCAGTCTGCATAGAAGAATTATTTACAGGACACACCAAAAAGAATCAACTCTTGAGTAAAGGTGTGTGTTTGTGACCTACTCATCAATCCTTCGACATCCATTTCTGCCCTTTACATAATAATAATAATAATAATATAATAATAATTTAAAAATCATCGCTTGATAGCCAAGTTGAGGGGGTGAAGCGACTAATACTAAGAATTCAAGTTGCAACCCACTTCTTGCAGGGATGAATAAATTTCTGGTTTTCGATGTCCGCCTGCCCTGAAGAGTTAAGGAAGGCGAGGACATGTGAAGAAACTGGGAAGCCACAGTGTAAGCATTTAACTCGCCTCTTTATCTATTTGGTGGGTTATTAGGCACGATTTTTAATTGGAAGTAAACCTGGGCAGGCCCACGGTGCAAAATAGGTTTTCAGCACATTTTCTTTGGCTTCTGGGAGATTTTAAAAAGCATCTGTGCCTTAACCTTTACGGAGGCGGCAAAGAGATAATTCTGGACAATGAAATATCACCCAATCACCTCCTGTTTTTAAGCCCTTCCAGGAAAACTGGGGGCATTCCCAGCCAGGAAGACATAAATTGAGGGGGAGGGGGGTGTCTCCAAACTTGGCAGCTTTAAGATTGGTGGACTTCAACTCTGAGAATTCCTCAGCCAGCATGGGGGTTTGAGGAATTCTGGGAGTTGGTGCGCCAGTCTTAAAGTGGTTGTGTTTGGAGACCTCTGATATAAACAAACACAGTTTTTTGCCAGTGATTGGGTCAAAAATCAATACCGTTTCTCTTTTCTGGAGAGGAAAAAGAAATGGCTGGATTAAATTTCACAATCTAGGGAACCTTGTACAGCCTGGTCTGCCTACGGTGCAGGCCTCACTCCGCTGACAAGAAAAACCAGCAGCCAAATAAAAATACAATTATTACCACCAGCTTTGAAAACAGCCTGCAAAATCTGAGCCGATGTTAAGAGACAGTCGAAGCCAAGAAAAATCCAGGGGTGGGGAGGGGTGGGGGCACCAAAAAACCAAACCTCACTGCACTCAGCTTGGATCAACCATGCAAAGAAGCAAATAGCCTGCTGCTCAAAATGAAGACTGTCCCTTTCTCACCCCCCCCCCACTTAAATTACAAGGTTGAGCTGAACAAAAGAACATTGTTAAGACTTGGTGGGTTTGCCTTAGCCCATTCTTACGTCTTCGAAAAGAAAGGATGCAAAATGGAAGAACTTAAAAAGCTCAACCCACGTGCAAGCTGAAAGCAGGCCATGCAAAACATTCATCTATCTTGCAGATGGCCACTGTGGGGCCGGTCATGAAATCAGATCCACCCCCCCTCTATTTTCCCACTTCTCACAGGAACACAAAGACGACGGGGCAGGCTGAGAAAAGATTGGAGGAACTTTGAGGCAATGGGTCAGCCCATTGCCTCAAAGCTGAATCTAGCCAACTTTTTTTTTTCTTTGGACAATGTCCCAAAAGGGGAGTCAATTAATGTAAAATGAGAAGGGTATTAAATTCAACTCCTTGGCTTTGTC